GTTCCAGAGATGAAGGGCCCAGTTATGAGGAGAGATTGGAGAAGCTGGGTCTTTATTCACTGAAGCAGAGAAGATTGAGGGAGGACCTGATTGAGATGTATAAAATGATGAGGGGTTTTGTTAGGATAAATAGCGAGAAGTTATTTCAACTGGTTGGGAATCAGTAACTCGGGGTCACAGATACAAGAGAGAGTTAAAGGAGAATTTAAGAGAATTATTGTTATCCAGAGAGTGGTTGGGATGTGGAATGTGCTGCCCTGTAGGGTCATGGAAACTGAGTCCACTGTAGCTTTCAAGAGGGAAGTGGATGGGCATATGGAAGAAAGCGGCTTGAGGAGTTGGGGATACGATGGGGCAGTGGGATTGAAGCAATATCCTTGCTCTGAGAGGCAATACAGGTTTGTTGGGCCAAATGGCCTCCTTATGCTCTGTAGATTTCTATATTTCTAGAATCAACCTCCTTGGATTTCTTTCATCTCCTCCTTTACTATTTGGTGGTGTATAGTATACACCCAGCAGCATAACAGCTCCCCTTCTGCTCCTTAACTCTAACCAAATAGATTCTGTCCCCTCCTTTTTTTCCTTCTCTGTCCCTCCTGAATACATTCTAGCAAGGAATATTGAGCTCGCATTCCTATCCTTGTTTGAGCCAGGTGAACCCTTGTTTCTAAGTGGATGTTGGATGTTTAAACAAAAGCTAGACAGTTACTAGAATATTAAAGGGTCAGTTGAAAGGATGAGGAAATAGGATTAAAAGATCTATCAACTTTCACCCACACTGAGTACATCTACATCACAAAAACTTGTAATATTCTTTTTAGTACATCACTCACGATAACAGACTGAAATTGCATTGAGAGCCGAAGGTGTATGTATTACACAAAGTAAATTACATAGACATCGGAAAATTGCACCTGTATACAGATTTAATTTTTTAAAAGTATTTCAGAATGTCCAGAATTTGCCAAATTGTTGAAATCAGTCTCAAATTTAAAGCCAATTGTCTATGTCTTAAAAACAAGCTTACGTAAAACAAACTCTAAAATTAAGACTATTTAAGAATTTGCCTAATTCCGGTACTCTAAAATGCTATGAAGTCAGAGTAAATCTTGGGAAGTGCACTATATAAATATAAATTTGTATTGTATTGCATTGTAAATCTAGAGCCAAGTGGAATTTATTTTCCTTTGTAAAATACAAAGTACTACATGAAAGACTCCTTCACCAGTCACTGTATCAACAACAACAACAACAACAAGATTCCATTTATTGAGCGCCTTTCACGTCGGGAGGACGTCCCAAGGCGCTGTACAGTTGGGTCAGGACCCGAGCATTGGGGGGAAATGGTCAGGATGAGGGGAGGGAAGGGAGGGAGCGAGGAGGGGGAAGAGAGTCGAGAGGGGAGCTGAAGGCACGGTCAAAGAGAAAGGTTTTGAGACCGGCCTTGAAGGAGGAAAGGGAGGAGGCGGCGAAGGCACTGGGGGATAGAGTTCCAGAGCCTAGGGGCGGAGAGGCTGAAGGCCCGGCCACCGATGGTAGGGTGGTTGGGGCGGGGGATGTGGAGCAGACCGGAGCCAGAGGAACGGAGGGTACGGGCAGGTAGGTAGGGGGATAGTAGGTCGGAGAGGTAGGAGGGAGTGAGGCCGTGAATGACCTTGTAGGTGAGGATGAGGATCTTGAATTCGAGGGCAATGTATCAAGGGCATTAAAGGGACACAGATTCAGAATATTGTAAAGTGTAGTGATTTGCAGGCAAATGTGGCATCCGATTTGTGCAGAGCAATGTCCCACAAACAGCCATGATGTGAATGACCATGAAATGGATTTAACATCCACTTTAACTGACAGACAGAGTCTCAGGTTATCGTCTCATCTGAGGGAAGGCACCTCAGGAAACCCTACATTGGAGTGTCAATATAGACTATGTACATGAGTTCAAAGTCTCAATGTGGAGTTTAAACTGATTCAAAGCGAGACTGCTACCAGCTGAGCTAAGTCAAAATATGAGTTTCTCCCAGTGTCCAGGCCAACAATCTCCCAGATAAATTTGCTTATTTGTCGCTGCCTGTGGGACTTAGCTCTGTGCAAATGGACTGATGCGATTCCCCACAAATACGTATACATACATTTCCCAGCACCTGGCTCATATCCAACTTAGTTGTCCACCCGCAGATCTGTCTGGACCACATCAACTTTTCAAATGCCTTCTTCAAAGGTCTCCCCAGCTCCACCATGCACAAGATCCCAAACTCTGCCGCCCGCATACGCACCCGCACTAAACTCCGTACCCCCATCACACCAGCTCTAGCCGGGCTCCACCGGCTCCCTATCGCCGAACGGATTGATTTCAAGATCCTCACACTCGTTTTCAAATCCCTTCAATGCCCTGGTACCTCCCTATCGCTCCGACCTGCTCACCCCCCGCAACCCAACCAGTGCTTACTGACCCACTGCCTCTGCTCAACTGGCTCCGGCGTTCTGCATGTCCCTTGTGTCCAAC